ACCAGCTTTAGAGCTTGCTCCTGGCCAACGTAGATTCAGTTTGTGCTTGACTTAGCTGTGCGCGCTTCAGATGCGATTGTGATTTACGTAATTCAGGGCCGCACAAGCCAAATGTGTCTAAAGAGCTTCAAGCTAAATATTTAATGAACTAGAACTACTTTGCCAAATATCCATCGAATGAAATCCGCATCGAAGCTTACTGCTTCACAAACCGAAATCTATCAAGAATAGTAGCGGAGAAAATGTGCTTAAAGCGATTGGAAAACCTCCGTGGCACCGGAATTTTTTTTCTTTCCATTGCCATCATTTCTCAACACAAAAAAAAAAAAACGCCAACATGATGGTTGCTCGAAAAAGCGCTGCAATGTTGCTTTAAGATGAGGTAAGTAAGCTCAAGGGAGGAGTCATTAGAAGTTGTTGGCATAGAATTCAGTTAGGCAATGGACACTACTTAAGCGAACGGCAATATATCTTTTCGTAAGGCCTAAGATTCGAGAAGAAACAAAGAAAAAAGTAATACAGTTGTAGTTCTTTGTTTTTGTCTGTTCTTTTTCATTTTCCAACATTCAACTTTCAAGCTGATTACAATCAGGCAACGATCACCTACAAGCCTAAAACTCGGGATCGCCAGAGAAGCATTCGCGCATTCATGTTTCTCATACACACCAAAAAAAAAAAAAATGCACGAGGAAGACACGTGGGCGAAAATTGGAAAGGACTAGCACTACACAGCCTACAAAACTCAATACCTCCCACGTCCACGCAGAAACTTATTGCCAGGCTTGTCACATCCGTCAAGGAGAAGGAGTTTTGAAAACATCGAAGACGCCATGCCACGCGGTAATGTTGCCGCGATGTATACAAAATTCACGACCGTAAGGCTTCTTCTCCCCACTGTCTCACACGCAAGTGCTACGTGCCAGCCTGAGTCTCTACAAAGAAAGACGAATGATGTACTGGATCCCGACGACTTCATAGTAAGCAATCAAATATGTAGGAAGCGTCGAGACGATACCGTTCAGGCATGAAGGTGCAAAAGAACATTGAATTAATGTCTGGACGGGTTAGTAACTATGTTGGCGACTAGGTTCCTGTGCTGAAATAACGATCGACGGGGCAAGTACAGTAATAGACAGAAGATGAAATGAATGAATAAAAGGAAACGACCTCGTCCATTGCCTGCTACACGTATGGCGATGTAAACAGCTTCTATTTGCACGTGTAGCTTGTATTTCTTTTTTTCAATGGGCTTGACTGACGACCCTGGCCTCTTCCCTGTCATGAATCATCGTTAACGCTCGAACTGCAGCACCAACGGTGCGGCTAAGGTAACTAGCGGCATCTGCAGACAAGAAACTGATACGACAGACTATGCACTTTTCGCCATGTAGAGCGCGGTGAAAACGGTCTATTTATTTGTATTTTAACAGCGGAGCTGTTTGGTCCGGGCTGTAAACGAAAAACTGGGCATGCAGGTTTACATATTATTGTTGTTATTCGATTTGAATGTTATGATAGACAAGGACATAGAGAAAAGAGGGAAAGGAGCGAGCTGGAAACTGCCCCCAGGAAGGGCGCAAAGGCCCGCCTATTCTTTTGGGAATAGGCAAGAGATAGGGGAAAAGAGAATAGGTGAAAGAGAAGACGAAAGAGAGGGAAAAAAATGATCGAAAAAGAGAAAGGAAGCCACAGAGAGCCGGCATGTACCAAGAAGCTCTTAGTGAAGATAGCATAGACAAGCAGTGAACATAGCTTAGCCATTAACATTAGCACGACCATATACAGTGTGTCACGCGTGCTTATTTCTGTATTTCTATGTAGGTCGTCTGTTAGACCCTTAAGCACTGTCCTGCATAAGCCAAGCCCGAATATCTTGGAGCTTTCCACATTATTTCAGAATCTTCTCATCAACATGAGCACGCAACGGGAATGGATAGTTCATTCCGGAACTCATGCGGCCACCAAGGATACGGCTAGACTAACCTTCGAGGTCACTGGTATAGAATGCCAACGCGCTAAGCTGCTGATCAGGTTACTGCCAGCTGACAATTGTGAACGCCGTTATCAGTGTACAGCCTGCATGGCTAGTACACAGTTTTTTTTTCGTTTTCCAGGAGCAAGTTCGCCTGAATAAAGAGCTATGTCTTTAATAGCCTAGATGCCGTCTTCGTCATCCAGACCCCACGACAACAGCGTAACATAGGGGTGGGAATGAGAAGTCAGGGTGAGCATGCAGTGTCCCACAATATTTACTAGATGGAACTCTGACGCTGCAAATAGTTCAGCCACAATGAGAATGATGAGTACCACACGGATTTACTTATTCTTCATACTTGCGGATTCGAATGTAATGGCTTTTGTAATGCTTAAAAGAATGGATCTGTATCTCGATGAGTCCATTTCAATTAGTGAGCCAAAAAAGACCAAGGTAGCGCAGCAGAACTGCCTGACGTTTGCTGAATTTCGCCAAGTGACAAAGCGGATGCAGGCCACACGGGGCCAAACGGAGCCGAATAACGAAGCCGAAAGAACGAAGACCGATCCGTGTACTACCCGTTCTATATACCCATGCTGGCTGACGCGCCTTGCGTTGCAGTTCCCACAGACACTTGCGCCAGAGTTCTATCTAGTGTATTCATGGGAAACTTGATGAGGGTGAGGGCTGATGGTAGAAGTAGGAGGAAGGAAAAAAACGAAGAGGGAGGGTAAAGCGCGACATAGCCTTGTATAGTTAACAAGGCTATGTGAAACCCAGGCGAGCGTAAGTAGCAGTAATGTAAGGGAATGAGAGAAAGGGGAGGTGAAAGGGTAAACCATAACACATTCATGTGCAGTGTAGCATAGCAAGAGGAGAATAGAAGTGAGGGTGAGGGTGAATGCGAATATTACGAAGAGGAAAAAGAGGACAGAGGACAGTACAGAAAGAGGTAAAGAAAGATGAAAGCTGTGGAAAGAAATACTGAGAGAAAAATCACACCGTCTCCGTCCGCTAATGGTGGCGCTTGCTTTCTAGCTGCGCTGCTCCGTCACACTGCACAGGTCTTGACATGGCTTTCATTTTTTAAAAGGGGAGCATTTCTTATCCCCATATTCACAAACGCTCTTCGACTCTACTTTCACCCTTCACGTGACAGAGTTGAGCTCTCGACTTCACTTGACAGATAGTCGCTGACGTGCAGTGACTTTCCGTTCCTAGAGACGGCGCTCCTATCGGCTTTCTCAAGCCTTCGGAAGGTGAAGCGTTGAGTGAAGGGAAGTTCTAGAGTACGGGGGTTAGTCACGTGATGTTGCGCTTCGGCGTTGGCGGTGGCGCCGTCCTCACCCCTACTACGCATGCTCGCGTCTCGTGGCAACTGTCACTCCCCGACCCTCTCTCGCCTCGCAAGGCCGACGCAGGCAAATTCTGATAGTAAAAAACCGCCTGCTCGCGTCGCACTACCGTTCACTTGCCACCCCGTATATGTAGGCGCTGGAGTCGAGGGCGCCTTTACTTGGTTTTCGCTTCGCTTCACGCTTTGATTGACTCGAGTGGATGCGATGGAAGCAACAGTATCTTCAACCAGTAGTGGGGCTTCAATCCAACATTAGCATCCCACCACTCGTTGAAGGCAACGGTTCCATGTCATTCAGTAAATAGGAATAATAAAAGACGAAATAACAATTGAGTATTCCCAAACCATACCCAACTACGCAACATTAACGCAATACCCCTACCAGTTCGCGACGAATTTACTCGAGTTCCACCTGCGGGAAGATGCTGCTGGCTTTTTCGGGGTCTTTTGTGTGACGATTTCACTTTCAGGGTCACTAGAAGGCCCACGGATATTTGACCGCCTTTAACGGCGACACTAGATTGTCGTAGCTTTCAAAACATTTATTGACTTACTTACAGACACGTAGACAGTTACCTGCCATAACAAAATTACTCGTCTGCACCTGTCTCTTGTTGCAACTTTCATATTTTGCATGATGGTTATACGGCTATGCATTTAGGGGCGTACCACGTCTAGCGTGCGCATTCATGCGTATACCCTGCAATTAAGACGAATTATCATAATTAGTCGTGATACCACACCAGAAACCGGTAATTGTTACGTTCATCAAAGCAATGACCATTGACATGCCACAACAGCGAATAAAGTTATCGAACCCTTCCCGTCCCATAAAGAACTATAGTCGTAATGGGATTTTATAAACAAACGATCGTTGACGACTGCATTCGTGATCAATGAGAATTGGTCCTAAACAAAACTAATAATGACTATGCGTGTCTTAGTTGTGTTTGCTGACACTGGATGATCACACTTGTCCATATTGTGTCATATTTGTCTCGACTTTCTTTTATTGCCTGCTTTCATGGTAATGGCATGTGTAGGAGCCTTCCTAAGTTATCTGTTCTTACGCAATGAGTGAGCTAACTGATAGTATTTTTGGGGGTTTTACGTCCCGACACCGTGATAAGGTTATGACAGACGCCGTAGTGAAGGACTTCGGAAATTTAAATCCATCCGGCGTTCTTAAACGTGCACCGACGTGGCAGTACAGGCCTCTACTGTGTCACGTCCACCGTATTGCGAACACCGTGGCCCACATTGAACCCTTGATCTTCGGATCAGCAGCCGGGCACCATAACCCTTGCTCCTACGCGGTGGTATAGTGAGCTAAAGGAGCCAAAACTCCACCTCAATGGAAAGTAGTGGTAGCATTTATATGCAATAAAGAAGCTCTGCAAATTGGGCGAAATTCCGGTAAACTTTGTAAAATATTCTTCTTTTTTTCAGGTGGGTAAAAGGTTAAATGTCACGAAAATTTTCATGTGCCGGAAAAGCAGTTACAGTAGCACACTTGCAAGCGAGTCAGCAACTCACCTTGATTCTTTTTTTCGATGAAGGCGCAGTGCTTTATAAAGTGACATGGCCTCGCCGGCAAAAAAATTCTGGCACCGAAATTACTCGTACTCAAGAGTGAGTGTTTACGACATGGCAATAGAAAGCACTTACTTTCGTGTGAAGAATAGAAGACGGGCCAGGTTGTCATTGTAATCGTCCAGGTCATCTCCTGCAAATGATTTAATACAGGAAATGAGCGAAAGAAATGTGTCGGGTAGCTACTTTTAAAAAGAGATATCAGGAAACTAAAAAAAATGAACACGTAATTTTAGTTCGAACGTGTTGCTAGCTTAGTCCCACATGAACTGCACCACTCTACAGAGTTTGCTTTATTTATTTATTTTTTTACATAGGAAAAAAGAACATAGGAAGGAAGACCACATAGGAGATGGCTCTAACAGCATGATAGCAGCGTTGGAGAGACAGACAGAAACAAGGGAGAGCAGAACGCATGAAGGAATAAGAAAATAGAAAGACAATCAGGAGCTGTGTGTTCTAAGATTGCTTGTTCATCGTGTATTGTAATATCTAACGCGCGCATTCTTTCGGGGGAAGGGGGAATCCTGTAACGTAAGAAGATAGCGATGGTTAGGAGTTAAAAGTAGACGAGGAAGAAGTGAGAATAAATAAACATGGCGTATGAGTCAGGCCACGTCTACCGCATCTAGCGTCACACGATTTATACGATTTGTGGCTTATAAATGATGTGAGAGTAATACACACAGTGTGTTCTCAACATGAGAGGAAACAAAACGAGATATAAATCAATCTGGCATGGTAGTTAAGCCGCGTTCACACAAGCGGAAAGCGGAAGAATCTTCGCAGCGGACGGGGCACCACCCGACGCACACGTCACGAGAACTCCCCATCCTCGCCCCCGTCCGGCCTCAGCCGCTCGCGCCACGGATCGAAATTCCTCACGCACATGGTCGCCCACAGATGTCGTTTCAAACAACGTTACATCTTAGAATGCACTCTTCTACGTGCTGTCTATAGCAAGAGATGCGTGGCGTAAGCGCGTTATTCGAGGAGTATGCTTCAGAGTTCCTTGAGCTCCACTCCGGCTCTGTGCATGCGACGCCTTCGCATCTTCCTAGAGTAACATAGTAAATATGTTAATCTATGGTTTCGTCGGATGAAACTGATCACGTGACTGTTCGGTCCGCGGAGAAGCGGGATTTTCGCTCGCGTGTGAATGCACCTTCAGGGTCGAAGGACACAAATCTTTAGCGGATAAAGAACCGACGCTTAACCCTTTTTGTTCCCACGCCAATCGAACTCGCTCACCAGTGGTGGACGTTTTAGATCGTCGATTTAGTCATGTTAGATTTGTTTCTCGTGCACCCGGCACTTTCTGGTAGATACTACAGGCACTTACCTTTTAGAATCAATTTGAGTTTGCCTGCTTTGACAACCGTACCTGGCTACCGGCAATTCGTCAAAAACAGATAACGCACCCAGACTCTCATTAGCAGGCAATGCTGTGGCTTTGCACATGTGTTTGAGCATCTGGAGAACACAAATGGTTCTGCCAGAGATTGACTTATATGAGGCTCTGAGTTAGTTGTACAGTTGAAGCAGCTTAGGACCCAACCTTGTTTTCTGTTGTGGTAATGGTATAGAACCATTGCGATATTCGAAACATACGTGAGACTAAAAAAAGTTTTACAAGAGACCTCATCACAGATATATAGACTAATTATAAAATAAGGTAACGCTGTTCCCTGCGAGAGTAACCTATCGAGAAGAGCACTGATTAGTTGATATTTACGAAAATGTGCCTGTAGATGTAGAGGCTTCTCAAAGAAACATGTTACATGAAGGCACGCATCGAGCTCTATATGTGCCAACAAATTACCCTGAATGAAATAGAATCTGGCCGCTGGTAAGAAGGCGGGTTGTGGGATTAACTTACGAAGCATAACCTCCACTCCAGCACTTTTCTAAATCCTTCTAGTAGTGCCTAAGTTGACAGGAAGACAAAGTAAGTTTATATTCCCGTATACACTTTTATGTCGAATAATTAAACTGTATGGGACAACTCTCGTGTAACATATGATTTATCATCGATGCAGTACCCAGAGTGACTACCCAGAGCGTCGACCCAGTACCCAGAGCGTCATGAGTAACTTCGTGGAGATGCGTGGCTTTGTTTCTTCAGATGTAAAAGCAAGGCGCCATTAAAAATTTGTCCTATGAGACGACAACAATGAAGTGATTGCAATCAATCAATCATTTGGTGCCTCTACTCTGGGCTGCAGTCACAGGGATGTTTACTACGCCATAGAGGAATTCATCAATCAGACTAAAAGAATATTGAGCTAAGTTTTTCATCTTTTTAAACATTTATATACTAATATTTCGTAATTAGGTTTGTTGTATTACTTATTCCTTATCTTATACGATAAGTATTCTACGAAGAAACACTTAAAACAACAAAAACAAAAAAAACGTTCACCTAACACTTGGCCGATCCCCTGCATTGGGTAAGAGCTATGATAAGAAGAGAAGAGGAAGAAGGAGAACACGAAAAGGCCTCACAGTTTAATGAGCGCATGTGTCAATCTTGAATGTTGTTTATCATTTTGAGCGTATTTTTAATATTTCTATCATTGTTATTGCCTGCATTAAGCTCCTTACTGTGCGTGTGGCCACGCCACACGAGATGCGTGTTCATGCGACAAGGCAGGCGCCCAAATTCTACACACTTAAAAAAAATATCGAAGCTCAGAGAAAACAGAGCCAGCCATAGTACACGGGGTTGAGTGACTGTGTATGCTTTGGGATCTTCGACCATTCTGGGGGCATGTTTTCTCGGAAAACAGTGCTTTAAAATATTTTGTAAAAAAAAGCGCGCTTTTATTTGCGTTTTTTTACTGTTGATTGACTCGAGTTAATGCCATTACGAGTACTTTCGTTCGTTTTGAGTAAGAAAGAGCAAAACTAAAGCCTCTGCTGCGTGGTGTGCTTGAGCAGGCGCCCTCATTAATGCTGGATGCCGGAACAAAGGTCGGGGTTGTTTTGCCCATGGTATCGCTCTATAGAACATGACATAGATTGCAGAAAAGCCGTTCAAAGGGCTCAGACGCTTGGCTGCAGCAGTGGAGCGTCAAGTGCTCGGTATGTAGATAGTGTTCAAACTTGAGAAAGCACGATACACACACACACACACACACACACACACACACACACACACACACACACACACACACACACACACACACACACACACACACACACACACACACACACACACACACACACACACACACACACACACACACACACACACACACACACACACACACACACACACACACACACAAAAGCGTAATTTTTTCGCTAATTGGGTAGAAGCCTTGAATTTGGATGGCTGGCGTGTTATCAAACGTAGAAACAACATACGCTGTGCATTTCCAATGAAGTCACTCGGTAATTGCGGGAATTCACTTTTCTCCGACTTCATCATCATCATCATCATCATCAGCCTGACTACGTCCACTGCAGGACAAAGGCCTCTCCCATGTTCCGCCAGTTAACCCGGTCCTGTGCTTGCTGCTGCCAATTTATACCCGCAAACTTCTTAATCCCGTCTGCCCACCTAACTTTCTGTCTCCCCCTAACCCGCTTCCCTTCTCTGGGAATCCAGTTAGTTACCCTTAATGACCAGCGGTTATCCTGTCTACGCGCTACATGCCCGGCCCATGTCCATTTCCTCTTCTTTATTTCAACTATGATATCCTTAACCCCCGTTTGTTCCCCAATCCACTCTGCTCTCTTCTTGTCTCTTAAGGTTACACCTACCATTTTTCTTTCCATTGCTCGCTGCGTCGTCCTCAATTTAAGCTGAACCCTCTTTGTAAGTCTCCAGGTTTCTGCTCCAGGTTTCTCTGACTTAGCTTTCTGTAAACTTTTCACGCCGACGATGCGTGCGGCTAAACAAAAGTGTTCCTGCCAGGAAAGTTAGTGATTGCTGATTGGCAATATTTCTGAGTGACTGGCTAAAAAATGATAAAAAGCGAACAAATCAGAAGTTAGTTATTACTAGACTTTATAACCTGAAAAATAACATAAGAATAAGGAATTGCACCCTTTTCTCCTGGTAACGCATGTGGCTGCCGTTTACTCATACCTAGGCGCGTGTTGTATAAACAGTAGTAGGCAAGGATATGAAAGCAAGAGAATTTGTGACGTCGAATACTACTGATACTATGGCAAGAGAGGTACAAGAAACCACAAACATTGTATTGAGGACTACGAGAGGACCATTGTTGGCAACCTGATAAACATTTTTCACAACAACCACTTTTGACAATGAAGCATTTCTTTGGGATGGTATTGAAAGTTGGGCTCTTTGGTACGGATGCATTTTTGGTTACAGCGTGAAAAGGACGAAGACGAAAAACAGCACTCGTTTGTGACCCTTCTGCATACCGTCTTCGTCGCTTTCTTGCTGTGAACAAAAATGGATTTCTTTGCGCACGGCAGGCAAATTTAGCTTGTCTGTCTACGTATCTATCTATTCGCCTACATGTGGGTGCTCTCGTAATCGCCCATTTAAGTTGGTGAATCAAATTAATATGAAAGGGTAAGATGGCTAGAGAAAATGACTCGCTGGTCATCACAAAAATGATATGACAATCCCGTCACGTACGTCGCAAACCATTTCCGCATGGCACGTGTGGCACATACTCCTATACCAGGGGCGGGTATGTGCCACAGGTATGCGGGTATGTGCCACATTTTACTTCTACCCAGCAAAGGGAAACGTCGGCCGGACGAGTGCACAGAATATATGTTATGGTCCTAGCAGGAACCGAACCCAAGCATTCGGCGTAACAATCAAGTATTCTACCAGAGGACCATGCCATGTCTCGGAACTGATTTTAAATAGACCGTGATATTCGTAAAACGTAAATTGTGGTTGCTGTGCTGGCTATAGAATTTTACAAACATTACATATATACTCCTAGAATACAGCCAGCCGTCATGTAGGGTTGACGTCAATTCTAGTTAAGCACCATCCAGTGAAGTTAATTTATCTAGGAGTGTCCAAGGCTACCACCTTCGCAAGCCCAAGATCCACATATCGGATTACTGCTTCTGGTGTTGCTAATACCCATTTACTATTGACCTCGTTACGCAACTGTAAGTAACTAGTTAGATAAA